AGTTTACTCGATTGGCAAAAATTCGGGATTCCAGCTCTATACAATTACTTAATACCAAATTTAGTACCATATGGTAATTTTCGTATAATTTAAGTACTCAGGGAAGGTTCTGCAACTTCCCTATATCCCAATCCCAGACCATTACAGTTATCGCAATATAAAATGTCACAGTTTCAGGTCTATCCCTTCACCAAATACCAAATTTAATAGCATTTAGTTATTTTCGTATAGTTAAAGTATGCATTTTCAAAACAATCTACTTATCTCAACCGCAGATACCAACAGTGCCCTTAATATCAAATTTAAGAATTCCAGTTCTTTCATATCCTTCCATATCCAAATTTCGTATAATTTAATAGGATTATAGTACGCATACCCAAAACCAGTTACTTCTCACCAACCATGACATCCATGTCATATTTCAGGATTCCAGCTGTATAGGTACACCAAATACAAAATTTGGTACCATTTAAGTATTTAGTACCATTTAGTACACATTTCCGAAGCTACAAACATATCGCTCTTCTATAGAAGGCCAGAAGCTCTTCTATAGACAATAGAAGACCTCAAGCTCGTCTATAGACAATAGAAGATCTCAAGGTCTTCTATGGACAATAAAAGTCCCCAAGGTCGTCTATGGATAATAGAAGACCTCCAGTTCTTCTATAGACAATAGAAGACCTCCAGCTCTTCTATGGACAATAGAAGACCTCCAGCTCTTCTATGGACAATAGAATACCTCCAGCTCTTCTATGGACAATAGAAGACCTCCGGCTCTTCTATGGACAATAGAAGACCTCCGGCTCTTCTATGGACAATAGAAGACCTCCGGCTCTTTTATGGACAATAGAAGACCTCCGGCTCTTCTATGGACAATAGAAGACCTCCGGCTCTTCTATGGACAATAGAAGACCTCCGGCTCTTCTATGGACAATAGAAGACCTCCGGCTCTTCTATGGACAATAGAAGACCTCCGGCTCTTCTATGGACAATAGAAGACCTCCGGCTCTTCTATGGACAATAGAAGACCTCCGGCTCTTCTATGGACAATAGATGACCTCCGGCTCTTCTATGGACAATAGAAGACCTCCGGCTCTTCTATGGACAATAGAAGACCTCCAGCTCTTCTTTGACAATAGAAGACCTCAAGCTTTTCAATAGACAATAAAAGACCTCAAACTCTTCTATAGACAATAGAAGACCACAAGCTCTGCTATAAACAATAGAAGACCTCAAGCTCAGCTACAGACAATGAAAGACCTCAAGGTCTTCTATGGACAATAGAAGACCTCAAGCTCTTCTATAGACAGTAGAAAACCTCAAGCTCTTCTATAGACAATAGAAGGTCTCATGGTCTTCAAGTTAATCTAAAGACAACAGACGACTTCAAGGTCTTCTATAAAAATGGAAGATCTCAAGGTCTTCTCTATAGAGAGAGAAGACTTCAAGATAAACAATTTTCTCCCTCCTGCAATTAAGATTGCTTCATTGGTATTTGTTTTCGTCGTATTGATTGCAGACACATACAAATGTATATATCAACACGTTTCCTGTATGTTTATAATGCGCAATTATAGGTATTTTATTGCCTCACGTCTCTTCAATGCTTTCGCATTAACATTTTTCCCATATGTATAAATAAGCATAAGGTGTGAGAATTTTACACACCTCTCGAGGAAAATTATAAAAAAGAGAGAGATTCAATTTTTTCAACACTCACAGGTTTCGAAAAGAAAAACATAAGAGTGGGTTATTATAGAATCATAACTTGTCAGATAATAATATTTTGTTCAAATGGCGCCCAACGTGCTTTGCCATATTCTTACTTGTACATTGGCCACTGCAAAAATATATGTTGGTACTACCTACTTTGATAAGGACTTCCATTGGGCGCCATTACAAATATTTCGTTGGGCGCCATAATTGTACGTTGGTCCAGTCAGGAATAGATATTGACAAATAGCTTTTCCTTTTTTTCTAGGGCTTATCTCCTGGCTGAGACACGCACTATATTGGGACTTACGTTGGGCGCCATTAAAAATATATATTGAAATTTCCATTATGACCACAGTAATTCGATGACTAGAGTTAGAAGACTCGACATAGTTATCCGCCGATATCTAAACATCTAATAATATGGCGCCCAACGTAGGACGTCAATTAAATAGAGTTCGAGTGAAGGAGAGAGAGAGATAGCTAAATAATGCAGACTTTCCGTCCCGATTTTTTTAGAGCAGGTTCCATCCAGATATTTCCTTTTCCAGATGCCAACTGTCAATAACTTTGCCGGTTCTCCCAGAGCTTCCTAATAATCATAGATGAGCTTCGAATGTATCTTTTGAAACATTGAATTTAGCGTAGAAGGCTGTTGAAAGTCTCCCATGGAACATAGAAAACTGAATAACTTCTTCCTCTTCTATTGTCCACAGTGTAGACCTTAAGATCTTTTATGGACAGTAGAAGACTTCAAGATCTTCTATGGGCAGTGGAAGACATGCAGGTCTTCTGTGGACCGTAGAAGACCTCAAGGTCTTTTTTGAACATTAGAAGACCTCTAGGCCTTCTAGGGACAGAAGAGAACCTCTAGGTAGACAGAGAAGACCTCAAAGGCTTCTAGACACAGAAGAAGACCTCAAGGACTTCTATGCACAGTAGGAAACCTCAAAGTTTCTATGGACAATAAAAGACCCCAAGGTGGTCTATGGATAATAGAAGACCTCAAGGTCTTCTATAAACAGAAGAAGACCTCAAGTCTTCTGTGGACAGAAGAAGTCCTCAAGGTCTTCTTTGGACAGAAGAGGACCTCAAATTCTTCTATGTAAAGAGGTTAAAGGTCTTCTATGGATATAATAAGGCCTCAAGTTCTTCTATGGACAGAAGAAGACCTCAAGTTCTTCTATGGACAGAAGAAGACCTCAAGGTCTTCTATGGACAGAAGAAGACCTCAAGGTCTTCTATGGACAGAAGAAGACCTCAAGGTCTTCTATGGACAGAAGAAGACCTCTAGGTCTTCTATGGACAGAAGAAGACCTCAAGGTCTTCTATGGACAGAAGAAGACCTCAAGGTCTTCTATGGACAGAAGAAGACCTCAAGGTCTTCTATGGACAGAAGAAGACCTCAAGGTCCTCTAAGGACAAAAGAAGACCTCAAGGTCTTCTATGGACAGAAGGCCAAAAGGTCTTCTAAGGTCTTCTTTGGACAGAAGAAGACCTCAAGGTCTTCTTTGGACAGAAGAAGACCATAAGGTCTTTTATGGACAGAAGAAGACCTCAAGGTCTTCTATGGACAGAAGTTGACCTCAAGGCCTTCTATGGACAGAAGAAGACCTCAAGGTCTTCTATGGACAGAAGAAGACCGCAAAGTCTTCTATGGACAGAAGAAGACCTCAAGGTCTTCTATGGACAGAAGAAGACCTCAAGGTCTTCTATGGACAGAAGAAGACCTCAAGGTCTTCTATGGACAGAAGAAGACCTCAAGGTCTTCTATGGACAGAAGAAGACCTCAAAGTCTTCTATGGACAGAAGAAGATCTCAAAGTCTTCAATGGACAGAAGAAGACCTAAAGGTCTTCTATGGACATAAGAAGACCTCAAGGTCTTCTTTGGACAGAAGAAGACCTAAAGGTATTCTATGGACAGAAGAAGACCTCAAGGTCTTCTATGGACAGAAGAAGACCTCAAGGTCTTCTATGGACAGAAGAAGACCTCAAGGTCTTCTATGGACAGAAGAAGACCTCAAGGTCTTCTATGGACAGAAGAAGACCTCATGGTTTTCTATGGACAGAAGAAGACCTCAAGGTCTTCTATGGACAAAAGAAGATCTCAGACAGAAGAAGACCTCAAAGTCTCCTATGGACAGAAGAAGACCTCGAGGTCTTCTATGGACAGATGGACAGAAGAAGACCTCAAGGTATTCTATGGGCAAAAGAAGACCTCAAGATCTTCTATGGACCTAAGAAGACCTCTAGGTCTTCCAGGGACAGAAGAGAACCTCTAGGTAGACAGAGAAGACCTCAAAGGCTTCTAGACACAGATGGATAGAGGAAGACCTCAAGATCTTCTATGGGCATAAGAAGACCTCAAGGTCTCTCAAGGATCTCTAGGTAGACAGAGAAGACATTAAGTGTTTCTAGAGACAGTGGAGAACCTTTCGGTAGACAGAGTAGACCTTAAGGTCTTCAATGGACAGAAGAAGACCTCAAGGTCTTCTATGGACATAAGAAGACCTCTGCTACAGACAATAGAAGATCTTAAGCTCTGTTTTAGACAATAAAAGACCTCAAGGTCTTGTATAGACAATAGAAGACTTCAGGTCTTCTATGGACAATAAACGATAGAAGGCCTCCAGGTCTTCTAGGGACAATAGAAGACCTCCAGGTTTTCTAGAAACAATAGAAGACCTCCAGGTCTTCCAGAGACAATAGAAGACCTCCAGGTCTCCTCTAGACAATATAAGACATTCAGATCTTCTATAAACAACAGAAGACCTCCAGGTCATCTATAGACAATAGAAGATATCTAGGTCTTCAACAGACAATAAAAGACATACAGAGACAATAGAAGAACTCCAGGTCACCTATAGACAATAGAAGAACTCCAGATCACCTACAAACAATAGAAGACATCCAGGTCTTCTATAAACAATAGAAGGCCTCAAGGTCTTCTTTGGATAATAGAAGACCTCATGGAGAAGAAGACCCCCAGGTCTCCTTAAGGTCTTTTATGAACAATAAAATACCTCCAGGTCATCTCATTTATTTGTACTTTTTGAGCCCTTTGCGGTCTGTTAGTCTATGTCAAACATTGCTAGTTAACAGTGATGTTATTAACATTTTTCTTTGGGTGGCAATTCTGTAAACTGTTAATAAAAGCTCTAGACATTATTATGTTTGCCCAGAAGAAACAAAACAAAAGCTCTGTTACTATTAAAGCGGTCTTCTACGACGTAAATAAAAATAGCAATAACAATGTGTGTTGTTGTTTTTCTTAGCCTATGCGAACAGCTGTTCAGTGCTCAATCTTTCAGATACATCATTGTTGGCGGCGTAACACCGTCATCGACATCTCCCCAACTGAAAAAAAAGTTTTCTTTTAGTTTTGTCGTGAGCGTTCTCCGAGTTGGTTGGTGGCGAACAAAGTATTGTAGAGGTTTGAATCGAACAAAAAAACAACAAAATATTTAAAGAATTAAATCAATTGTGTTTATTATTGTTGTTGGGCGCGTTGTTCAATGCCAGTGGAGGTACAAATTTTCGTTTGTGTTCTATTGGATTAAAATAAAAAAAAGTCCAAAAACGAAAAAAAAAAACAACAAAACAATCCGGTTTCTGACTTTCGGTCTTCTTACAAAACGGGCATGTGCCTCTCAAGCCATGATGGTTATGGCGCAGGGAGGGGTGAAAATGATGAGTCAGATTGAAAGAAAACAAAATATATAAAATAAAAATTCCAGCTAAACGTGGCTACAATATGCTGGAAATATAAAAAAATATTGAAAGAAAAAAAATTTTAAATATTTTCAAAAAGAAAAAAATTATATTTATTTATAAACAAAAAAAGTGTGTCAAGTCTGTAGCATTGCTGTTTTAAGTGTGAACGTAATTGTGTGCGGGCGTGAACTGAAATTTGAAAGTATGTCGAGAAAATTTAAAAAAAAATTGGATTAAAATTAAATTTCGATTTTAAAGCGCTCTTAGTAGGAGTATTGAAATGTTACCACATTTCAGTGCAGTTAAAAATACCACTTTGGAAATGAAAAAATTACTCTCCCAATCTTAAAGCTCTTAAATATTTCGTTCTACATTTCCAGTAACTGGTGTTGATTTTGAAATTTTTAATTGTTTTTTAATATTTGTGTTTTTTTAATCTTCCATCTTGCCTGCTCCTACTCCTACCTACTAAAAATTAAATAAACAAAACAATTATAAACATCGTTTCACCAACAACAACATAAAAAACATTTTCCTTTGTTCCCCAAAAAAAATATTATTTTCATTTTCGAAATTTTCAAATTTCCTGCAGCCATTTCAATTCTAAACGACCGACTATTGCATGCGTTGAAAATAAATCTTAAAATTACCACCTTCACACCACATACCCAAAATATCTATCTATCGGTTTGCTGAAAAAAGACCAAAAAAACCAACAACAAATCTACACATCATGAGGTGAGACATAATTTTTGAATATTTTTTTTTTCAATTTTTTTTTTTATTTAATTACATTCAAGAAAAATTAATTGCAAATCATAACAACTATACATACAGACATATTAATCGCATATTTATTTGAAGAACCGAAAATTTGCCAACAAAATACATATTTTACAACCGACCATAAACAGTTTTCAAGTTCAAGTTCAAAATTACAATAACAAAAAAAAGAGACACAAAGACAATCCTTCATTGCACGAAGCATAAAAACACATGGCCACGTTGAGTGGCAAAATGGCCTATGTCGTAATTGAATAAGTTAAAAGGTGTCAGTCGGTTTTGCCGGCAGATGTATACCCTCAGCCAATGTACGATTTGGTATTGGGTGAACATGAAATTTTGTTTTAGGATCGCAGTTCATGTTTAGCCTGGAAAAAACGGAGGTGTTTTCGGAAATGTGTACCATAATTGGATGGAGCTGAAACCCTGAAATTTTATATTGAGATCTCTGTTGGTATTTGGAATTATGATATGGAGGTGATTTTGGAATTGTGTACTATTATTGTACGATAGGTATTAAATAGTACTGAATTTGGTAATGGGTGAAGGAATAGAAATTTGAAATTTGATATAGATATCACTGAATGTGTACTATAATTGTACGAAAAGTCCTAAATGGAACTTAATCTGATATTTAGTGAAAGGATAGGGAAAGAGTATCTAGAAATGAGATATGGATGTGGTTTTGAAAAGATGTAATATAATTGTACGAAAAGTATATTGGGTATTGGGTTATGAGATACAGCAGGAATCCCGAAATTTGATATCGAGGCCTCTGTTGGTATCTGGAATTGAGTCATGCAGGTGGTTTTGGAAATGGGTACTATAACTGTACGAAAAGTACTACATGGGACTACATTTCGTATTGGGTTAAAGAATAGAAATCTTAAACTTGATATGGGGCTGTTTTAGAGAGAAGGAGCTGTTTTTGGGTATGTGTACTATAATTGTACTAAACTCTAAAGCAGGCCAACAAAGGGATATTTTTGGTTTTTTGGAATATGTTTAAAAACTCCCTATAAACGGAATCGTTGCAAGTAAAAATATTTTACAAATTTGTCATAAAATTCTACTATAGGTTCTAGAGTAAAGCAAAAGCCTTAATCTAACCCTCAAACTAGGAATACAAAAGTAGGGTTAAAGTCGTTCTTCACGCAAGTTTTTTGCAAAATTTCTCTACAAAGCATTATTTTTGAGGAATGACGTCAAAGACAGAAATATTCCTCGTCAAATGTCACTATAAGTTCTCTCTATTTCCATTTTATATCAAGAAAATATTTACATCAATATTGCCAAAAAATCAAAAATATATTTTCAGGGTGAGATGAAAAAACTGCAGCCAACTTCAGACCACTGTCATTTCTAAGCCACTAGTCCTACAGCTGTTAAAATTATTCCAGTGACAGCTCATTATGTTGTTTGCATGCTTACCAAAGCATTTTGGTGAGAATTTTCCAGAAAAAAAAAGTTATTCGTGATGGAATTCAAGCGTGATAGTGTGATTTCTTTATGTTTGGCTGGAAAACCACAAGTGGCTATCGTTAGAGCACTCCAGCATTTGAATGTGAATAAATCGTTTGTGTCTCGTACAATCGCTCGTTGCCGTGATACAGGTAGCGTAGCCCGACGTCGACGAAGTGGACGGAAGAAAACAGCAACATCAGCAGAAATGGTTCGAAAAGTAAAGAAGCGACTTGATTGAAAACCTCGTCGCAGTGTCCGAAAAATGGCTCGTGAGCTGAACATATCGCGACATTCCAATCGGCATATATTAAAAAATGAGCTCGGCGTAAAGCCATTGAAATTCCAAAAAGTTCAAGAACTTACTTCGCAACAGAAAGAAAATAGACTCAAAAAGCTTAAGAGTTACTTCGCTTCGCCGAAAATGGTGAACTGCCGAATTTGGTTTTCTCTGCTCCGATGAGAAAACATTCGTTGTCCAGCAGTTTGTAAACAAACAAAATGATCCTGCTTACTTGCCAAAGAGGTCAGCTGAAAATGTGCACTCAAGCGCCGGCCATGGTGATGGTGTAGGCCTCCATAACTGCCGATGGTCCCTCTCCGCTCGTATTAATCGAGCGTGGCGTCAGAATAAATGTCGAATATTATCGCGAAAATTCTGGACGGTGTATTTAAGCCTTGGGCACGCAAAAATTTTGGACGCAGACCTTGGACATTCCAACAAGACTCACTCAGCACCATTGCACTCAGCACGCGCCACACAAGAATGGTTACAAAATGAGGTTCCTCACTTCATTTCCAGCACACAATGGCCACCAAAATCTCCGGATACCAATCCCTTGGACTATTGTGTCTGGAGTATTTTGGAAAGCAAGTGTCAATCGCCTCAAGCAAGCGCTTCGCTGGGAATGGGCCAAAATACGGCAGAGCAACATTAGGGCAGCGTGTGACGGTTTCATTGGCCGTTTGAAGGCCATAATTCGTGCCAAAGGGGACCAATTCGAACAAATCTTAACTTATTCTAAAATTTGATGCTATTTCGACATTTTTTGCTTTCATTCAATAAAATTAAAAATAATGGCATTGGACTTTGTTGCAGTTTTTTTATCTCACCCTGTAATAGCAGAACAGTTGAATTTAATGTTTTTCTGTAGATACACGTGGGGGTATTTTACCTCTAGAAACTACGTACATGGTCACCTCTCTATAGAATACCAGCAAAAAATCTTCGGTGGGATCTCTTCTGTCCATAGAAGACTTGTGGGTAATGTTTCACAGATGGGAACTTGTAAAGAATTTCTTTTATCAACAGAAGAAATTTTGGAGTACTTTTGAACAAGTACTGGCTAAGAGAGACTCTCTCTCTGTAGGGAAAATTTTAAGAATGGATATAACCTTTGTATGGTGTTGGAAATCTAAAGAAAATCCCTCATCAGAGTTTGGACAACTTTGTTGAAATTCATTGTTTAATTTTATATAATTTCCAAGCAATGGTAATTTTAAATAGTTACTTGGTTAGCAAAAAGTTTCGGAGATGTGTCTTTTCCACAAATAGTTTAGGTTTTCTTTAGAAAAGGCAAAAAAAAAATACGAACTACCTTCCCCTCCTAATGTTTCTTTCAAACATTTGCTGTTAGTAATCCTATGATTTTTTATTTGTCTGCGTGGTGGCACTACCTACCTACCCTCAAATGTCGTTCAAAAGTATTCCGTTGGGCGCCATTGTGCCATGGTGTGTGATAAATGGTTTTTAATAGAAAAAAAACTAAATACTTTGTTATGGCAGTGAACCATATGGGCTGCCAAAGTAATAACACCCCCCATTGACCTAATATTAGGACAACTAATGCAATATTTGACGCAGTGGCTATCTTTTTAATTGTCCTTCATTAAGTTTCGCACTCGGTGGGTGAATAACGAAATATGTCAAACATTTAAAATTTAGTTGGAAAGACAAATGGATCCATAACAAAAGTCGAATCATGCTTTCCGAAAATACTGAGCTTCAAATAATAATCCATACCAAAAACCTTTCAATTGCAACCCCAAAATTCCATATTTCCAGCTACGCTTATCTTGGTATTAGAATGCCTGAATAAATTACAAACAAAAATGTAAAGATTGAAATAATATTTACTTTGGGTTCTTTTTTTTAGATAAAATGTGTGATTTTAGTCACTTTTATGAGACGTGAACCAAACAAAGCCAAGTCAACATCATGAATCATTTGATTCGTTGGGGGCGCGGGGGTGATAACTGCCGTTCTCACTCTTTTGTTCCTTCCAAATGTTGACATAAAACTAATTTCTAGATAAACATTGCAAATACTCATCGCGATGTGTGATAAAATTCTTTATTTTTGTGTGGGTGAACATCTAATTGTCTGGAGCCGAAACTCAGTGTGTTCTAGATAAAATTCGATTCGAAAATGCAATAAAGCAATAAAGATTTTAAGAAATGTTATTTGATGAATTTTTTGATAATTTCGGCAGAGAAGTTGAATTTTTTGTTATGTTATGTTTCATAGAGGAGGTGGAGGTCTTCTATTGCCCCTAGAAGAGCTGGAGCTATTCTATTGTCCGTAGAAGAGCTGGAGCTCTCCTCTATTGTTCAAAGAAGAGCTGGAGGCTCTTCCATTGTCCTTAGAAGAGCTGGAGAGGTCTTCTATTGTCCATAGAAGAGCTGGAGAGGTCTTCTATTGTCCATAGAAGAGCTGGAGAGGTCTTCTATTGTCCATAGAAGAGCTGGAGAGGTCTTCTATTGTCCATAGAAGAGCTGGAGAGGTCTTCTATTGTCCATAGAAGAGCTGGAGAGGTCTTCTATTGTCCATAGAAGAGCTGGAGAGGTCTTCTATTGTCCATAGAAGAGCTGGAGAGGTCTTCTATTGTCCATAGAAGAGCTGGAGAGGTCTTCTATTGTCCATAGAAGAGCTGGAGAGTTCTTCTATTGTCCATAGAAGAGCTGGAGAGGTCTTCTATTGTCCATAGAAGAGCTGGAGAGGTCTTCTACTGTCCATAGAAGAGCTGGAGGCCCTTCTATTGTCCATTGAAGAGCTGGAGGCTCTTCTATTGTCCATTGAAGAGCTGGAGGCTCTTCTATTGTCCATAGAAGAGCTGGAGGCTCTTCTATTGTCCATAGAAGAGCTGGAGGTCTTCTATTGTCCATAGAAGAGCTGGACGCTCTTCTATTGTCCATTGGAGAGCTGGACGCTCATCTATTGTCCATTGAAGAGCTGGAGGCTCTTCTATTGTCCATAGAAGAGCTGGAGGTCGTCTATTGTCCATAGAGGAGCTGGAGGTCTTCTATTGTCCATAGAGGAGCTGGAGGTCTTCTATTGTCCATAGAAGAGCTGTGGGTCTTCTATTGTCCATAGAAGAGCTGTGGGTCTTCTATTGTCCATAGAAGAGCTGTGGGTCTTCTATTGTCCATAGAAGAGCTGAAGCTAGGTAACCTCCAGAGCTCTTCTTTGGATAGTAGAAGCTCTTGTATTATCC